TCCTTGGGGTTTTTCCTGAGTGCACAGGTCTTTTTTGGCTATGATGTTCAAATGGTCAAATATTGTCACATCTGTTTAGTGTATATTTAAAATATACAACAGGTCTTACATAACTAGGTTTCTTACCTTCAGGTTTCTTCTTAAACTTTCACTACGTAAGTGTAGAAGTCATTGCAAATGAATGTGAAGTTGCTCTTCACCTGGATTTCTGACTTGATGAGGTTTACCGAACATCTGTTCCTTGTGTCCGTCCAGCATCCTGTCATCAGTGAAAATACCCTCTCCACTGAAGCATTGGTGATTGGTACACTCAAGAAGAAAGAAGCAAAAGCTGTCATGTTTGGTGTGTGTGTGTGTGCTTGAGTAAGGTGGACCACTTCTCCACCACTGGAGCTCCAGACTGCACAATGGCCTGTTGGTGTGGCAGAACAACACAATACTCATCATATAGCGCATCCATGTCCAACTTCTTGCTTAGTTGCAGGACCTCTACAGCTTCACAGAGATGGGAGAAGTTGAATGGGCTCTTTAGTGCCAGGCAGTGTTGTTTTTGGCAGCCGTTTTAGTTTTAGTCTTAGTCTTTTGGACGAAAATGCTTTTTTGTTTTAGTCACATTTTAGTCACTTGTAACTTTATAGTTTTAGTCAAGTTTTAGTCGACAAAAACACAAAAAGGTTTTAGTCAAGTTTTAGTCAATTTTAGTTAAAAAAACATAAAAACATTCTTACTTTGGCAATTGTTGCTTTATTTGAGAAATTGCTAAAATGCAATGAACAACGTGCCCAAAATATAAGCTATTAAACAAATACAGCTCTACAACTTGTGCTTCATTTTGTCTGCCAGTGCAACATACATACATGCATATTATTTGTAAACACAAACAGCGTACAACCCTGTCCATCTTTAACTTGTGCAAACTGCAAAGTTGCAAACATTCTGAAACAAAATAATAAAAATAAATAAATAATACAGAGGTGCATTGACCATAGGTTGTTAGGAACGCATACTTGAAGTATGAAACAAAAATGACACTTGAAGTGTGTTGATTGAACATTAAAATTAATAAATCAATCCCTGAATAGTGTAAACACTGCAATTTTCTTTAAGGAAAGCAAAATAACTTACTAAATAAATAAAAACGTTTGTTTAACACATTGAATTAGAGGATGGCCCTACCTCTAGTGCAGTCTCACAGCAAGCCCAGAACAGAATATCACAGTAACATATCTGTAAACAAATAAATGTAATGCTCATTAAATTGGCCTACTGAGCTCGATTCAGTTTCAGGAAAGCACTTCTTTCTAAAATGACTCTTGCTCTATTACGACGGCCACGACTGAGGTCACCTGTAATGCTAAAGACTCTCTCAGCAAATGCTTGAGATGCTGGCATGGCCAGAAGGTCTAAGGCAATAGGTTTTAGGCTCAGATACACATAATCTCCCTGTGCATCCCAAAATTCTAGGGCAGTCTCTTGGTTTGTAGGCTGTGACAACTGCTCCTTGAATTTCTTGATTTCCTCCTTGACACACGGCTTTGAGAGGGTAGACTTGGAAGGCCGGCTTGGTTTGGAGTAGAATCTGAATCTGGGATCTTTGGATTCTTCTCCCTCCTCTGGCTCGTCGTCTTCAGCCTCCTCCAACAACTTGTGGCACCAACTGAGCAATATAATCTTCTGCTCTTCTCACAAGTGCCTTTATTTGCTCGTCATCATTTTCAAGGAGTGCTTCAGGTGCAACTGTCGAGTCAAGGAAGCATGCAGCAGCAGCGAGAGGTGAAAACTTGGAGTCAGTGTGATCAAGAAAGCAGCTGAACCTCTTGTCCAAGTTTGCCTTCATCTTAATTGCCAAGGAAGCAAGGTCCTTAAAGCTAGATCCCTGGGCTTGGGGGAACTCAGACAGGTGACCCTGCAGGTCCAGAAGGGCAGGCACCACAAGGGATAATGACTGTGTGTCACTCTGGAGCAACTGGGTATGCTCAGCGAAGGGGACGAGTAAATCTCTGAGAGTGGACAGTTTATGCCACTCACTTGATAGTAAATGGTCCCAGCTCATCCCATCCGCAACCTGAACTACTAAGTCTTTGATTTGGAGAAGCCGTGATATCATCTGATATGTGCTGGACTATCTAGTAGGGCAGTCTTTGACCAGGGTTAGTTGACACAACTGCAGCAGTCGCTCAGTTGCCACTGATGACTTGCGGAAGAGCTTAACAAGACCTCTAACTTTGCTCAGCAGTCGGTTGACACTTGTGTCTTTCTGGATCATGTTTACCACAAGTTGTAGAGTGTGTACAACGCAGGGGGTCCTACTCGTATCGATGGCTCCAAACCTAGAAGAGACAAAAATACAGGAGAAAAATAAGTTTTAAGGACAGTCAATAAAATTGCCATGAACAATTGCAAAAAAATTAATAAAAGTGACTATAACCTACAAGCATAACTCTAAATAATAAGAGTGACTGACATACTGAAAATTAACAGCAAACTGAAGTAATGTTCTGGTGTTCTCTAACAGCCACTTCAGTATCTTCAGGGTCACTCGTCTCGATGGATTCATCCTCGGAGCTAGTGGGCTCATCCGGTTCATTAGACTTGAATGCTGCAATCATGTTGCTTCCATTGTCAGTTATGACTGTTAGAATTTTGTGTTGTGGTATTCCCCAGTCTTCTAGGCATTGGTCAAAACAATGTTTTATACACACTGCCGTGTGTGGGTGTGCGATCTGATCAAGTCTCTCAACAGTATGTGCTGTGCTTTATTTACCACAGTGCAAAAAAAACATGCACTAATTGCCAGAAATGAAGCTGTAAGTCCTTTTTTGGTCCATATGTCCAGTCCAATTGTTATTTTACGTGCTCTGGCAAGCCGCTCTTTGTACTTTAGTTTTTCATCATCATAAATCTTGTCAACTAAGTTGTTTATTTTTGTTCTTTTGGGTATGGTCATCCTTTTATCAAAGGTCTCAATCATGTGGATGAAATCTTCATTCTCAACTGTGCAAGCAGGTAGACCAGTGCGTCCAATCCAAAGAGCGAGCGCTTGTTCTTTGACACTTTGTTCCACAGAGTTTGACTTGTATTTGGATCCTGCGGCAAAGGCTGTTTCGATAGATGTCTGTGTCCTGTCGTTATTTGGACAACCAGGTTTCTGTATGGGTATTCTGGTCAATGGGATCTGGATGAGGAGAAAACAAAGACAATTACTACAAAGTACATGTGTAAAAGTCATGTCATGTGAATACAAAACAATCAAATTTGTATGTGTGTATGTATACTGTTTATTATAGTAGTAATAGTATATATAATATATATATTAAGCAGATCATCGTGTTTCAACACATTACGTTTAGAAAACAAAATGGTTTTTACTATCAAACATTTAAGAGAAATTACTAAAAGCAAATAGACTATTGCAAAAAAGAACATATAACTCCAGCTGTTACAAAACTGATTGTGACTTTTTTTGTCAGTTTTGTCACATCTTTTGTATTTTCATCCTCATTTCATTGCTCTTTCGACGCTTTCTTCAAGAAGCTTTTCGATTTGGGAAACTGGAGAAAATGTGCTCGTTTCAGGTGGGGATTAAACACATGGCCCATGCATTTAACCCCATTTAATTTAAATATATTTTTTCTTTAAAAAAAAAATGTTAGTTACATATGTGAATATACTGTATTTATATGTCAATATATTAGTACGTGCAACTTAGTGTTAGGTACGTGCCACCTAATATGGCCTAATAGTCCTAGGAAAACAACTATCTGTCATTTTACATTGCAGTCTATTTAAATGTAAGTACAGTATTTATTATAGCTGTGTGTCATAATACAGTAGTGAAATATGGTAGCCTACTGTTGTGTATAGGGGAAAAGGTAGAGGAATTAGTATGATCAAAATACATTTTCGACCCTTTAGCAAGATAAACAGTTTATGACCATATATTTTACATTACATGTTATGAATGTATAGTATTTCACACTTAACATATATTTTGTTGTAATTTAGAATATATTTCAAAATGATAAATCAAAGTGAAGAACAATGCAAATATATTTGGAATATATGCCACATATATTTTGACACTTTAATTATATATTTCAATCTTTTTTTTTTTCTGTATGGGGAGGAACAGCAACCGGTCTGAAATGCTAATTTTCCCCTCCACATTTCAGACTGTCACTGAAATCAAATAACAGTTTAACATAATGACGATTTACACTTCCTACACGGCCAAAATCCCTGCATGTTCAACAAATAAAAGTGACACAGACATGCTATTGATGTTAGCACAACCAAGCTAATATTAGCCTGAAGTTAGCAGCAAATTTGCACCAGTAGATATATGTAAAACCTTAAGCATACAATGAAATATGTCACAAGCCAATTGTTAAGTAAAATTGAATGTATATGATATGTTAACAGCGTGACTTGTTAGTTACCTTCGAAAAAATATCCGCGTGATGATCCTTCAGGTGCCGCTTGAGGTTGGTTGTATTCTTCCCACCTAGTTTATGGCCACATTTACCGTCGTCTCCCAATACAATGCATTCCGTTTTTCTTTCTGATGGATTATACTGAAAGTATGTCCATAAATCATCTCGTCGTTTCCGACCACCAAGCCCGTTTATTGGCGTCGCAGCCATGGTCCTTCGAAGATGCGTGGCGAGTGACTAGCCTCTCAGCACCGCCGCAGGTGTGTTGTTGTGGTGGAATCTGGTGCGCGCATGGGGCAGCCGGGTGGTGGGCGTACCCAAAACAAGGATAGCTCAAACAGAAAAGCCAGATTTCACGCAAAATGGGCAGAAATAACATGCATTGTGAACGTCAGACTTATAATAATTTTCGTTCCGTCTCGTCTTGTCAACGAAAACTCGAAAACGTCTCGTCATGTTTTAGTCACCTTAGAGCCATTTTTAGCTAGTCATCGTCGCGTTATCGTCATATAAAAAAGGGGCGTCAACGAAATCATTTCGTTATCGTCATCATTGACGAAAACAACACTAGTGGCTAGCCACTTTCTTCTGGTAGTTGGAGTCTGAGAAGTCATAGCGCTGCTCCAAGTAGGTGAGAGAGGACTGGTAGAAATTGCACATGTCCTCTCTGAGCACAGCTGCCTGTCTGTCTGGAAACTGCTGGAGGAGTACACCCGTCTGGGCTCCTAAGAAACCATCACTCTGTTGTTGGTGTAGCTTGGTTTTTAGGGTGAACATCATATCGTAGAGCTCACAGACAGTACCATCTTCTCGCTCCAGCACCAGCACAGTGTCGTGGAAAATCTTGAGCGCATTGCTGAGGAAGGACAGGTAAACCTAAAAGAAGTAAGGAGAGTCAATGATCCTGTGTGCTGGCACTGGTTGCATTATCATAATTTCTCTAATCCATGTTCCATGTAATAATATGTAGATTAAAAAAAGTTGAGTGCAATTAAAATTAAGTACCTGTAGATCAAGGGGGTTGCCCTCACCATCCTGGTCATCCTTGAACAGCCGCCATAATGACTTTGGGCACTGGTCCTCTCCCAGGGAGAGAAAGTATGTCTTGATAGGAGCTCAGCTGTCGTGAAGCCTCTTCACTGCAGGCCACAAGCTCAGCCATCTTGTGGGCACATGTCTAAGCAGGGACTGGTACTCTATCTCCACAAAGGTGTGAATTGACTTAAGCTCCTCAATGCGTTTCGCAGATGAGGAGAAGTCTGTGCTCCCAAGTCTGGCGTCCAGTAACGCACTGACAGTGGAAAGAGCTTGGTGGTCCCATGATTGGAGGCATCTGAAGCCACTGAGAAGAATGGCGTGTGGGCTATGGACACACACACAGATGGAATGAACTTAAGAAAGATTTTCTAAAAACAGATTATTAAAAATACAAGATACCACTTTACTGTTTTGATTATTTTTAATTTTATATCAATATTATCTATAGAAATATGTATACCCTTTTAAAAATTAAATTTGCTTTTATTTGTTTAGTTAACGAATAGTGAAATGTTGCTCATAATCATGTAAGGGCGACGGTGGCGCAGAGAGTAGAGCGGGTCGTCTTGTGACCAAAGGGTCGGTAAAATTGTCTTTTAACATAGAAGATGATTAGCTAACATTAGCTAGTTCATGTTAGACAAATAGCTAACACACAACAATGTGCATGAACATAACGTTTACTTTACCTTTGTTTGTGGCCTCTCGTTGCTCATTCAGTGGTCTTTTGAGGACTTTCAAGCAATCTTCGACAAAGGCAGGAGCAAGCACATCCGTGACAATGGCTTCTGCCTTCGTCCAACCACAGGCCATCCTCTTGGCAATGTCCGAGTCCGGATAAATCGTTGGGGCTAGCTTTGTGACACAATCTCCTGCTCTATATGATGCAGCGTGTTGGACAGTGTGATACATATTCGTCACCTCTGCAACAGTCACTTTGTCAGCTAGAAAGTCGTTTTTAGGTCGGAGAAAAGCATCCATAGATTTGGATGTCTCTTTCTGTTGGATACGTTTCTTGTGAGTCCCCGTGAGTCTGTGTCGTTTGACATCGTATTCCCCTCCATGTCCGATGGAAAAGGACGTTTTTCAAAAGTCACTCAGTATCCCCCTCAACACATTTCAGCCACAAATATTCATTTTCCCAGTCTTTGTTGTACCCACACCTTCTCTTTTTAATTGATGATGGCGCTGCCTCAGACTGAGTCTTTTTCTCCATTTTTCTAATTGGAAAGCGGCGAGCGCGCGCATCCCAGTGTGTCTAGTGTCTAGTCGGAAGTTTAACTGAGGGGTGGGTGGGGCAGTAGCGTGTTGAACTGTCAAGTAATGTTCGTTTGGCTGCCTGCGGCTCGAGGATATAGCGAGACCAATTTTGTTGTTGTTGTTGCAAGCATTGATTAATGATTATGCATGACACGGTCTCAGTTTGCGGGACGCATGAATTGGGCTTCAAACGCTGTGCGCGCACGCGCTACGCGGGACGGGTGGTCACCCTAGTCAAAAGCTGCACTTAGATCTAACAGGATTAGGATTGAGACTTTGCCTCAGTACTTTGTCTCACAGTCTCTGTGTTTACACTTCTGGGATACAATTGCATACCTAAGGACACCCTCTATGGTTGCAGCGTGAGACCTATGTGCATTCTCAATAGAATGTATGGCATTAACTTGCAACCTGGGAACAACATTATATAATTACATATATACACAAAACGTAAAATAATAATTATAATAATAATAATAATAACTAAATAATACTTTCTGTAGGTATTACCGAGCTAACATTCCCTTGAAGGAGAAGCCCATGGTTATTGGGTAGAATCTGATAATCAAATTGTGGAAGGACTCCAGGGTTGATGTATAGTATACCGGACAAATTTTTTCCACATTCTTGACAAAGCGTGGGGCCAATTGAAATACTGTGAGTCTCTCACACGTTGCTGTACCTAGAGTAATGCCTTTTATAGAAAGACATTTGACCTTAAATCTTTTTAATATACATAAAATACATCCATCCATCTATTTTCTTCCGCTTCATCCGTTGCCGGGTCGCGGGGGCAGCAGACTTCCCTATCCACATTCACTTCCTCCAGCTCTTCCGGGGGACCCCAAGGCGTTCCCAGGCCAGCTGAGAGACACAGTCCCTCCAGAGAGTCCTGGGTCTTCCCCGGGGTCTCCTCCCAATGGGACGTGCCCGGAACACCTCCCAAGGGAGGTGTCCAGGAGGCATCCGGTACAGATGCCCGAACCACCTCAACTGGTTCCTCTTGATGTGGAGAAGCAGCGGCTCTACTTCGAACTCCTCCCGTGTGACTGATCTCCTCACCCTATCTCTAAGGGAGCGCCCAGCCACTCTGCAGAGGAAGCTCATTTCAACCGCTTGTATCACATTTCATACTTTCGGTCATTACCCAAAGCTCATGACCATAGGTGAGGGAGGGAACGAAGATTGACTGGTAAATCAAGAGCTATGCCTTTTGCTTCAGCTCCCTCTTCACCACAATGGTCCGGTAAAGCGACCGCATTACTGCGCATGCTGCACCGATCTGCCTGTCAATCTCACGCTCCATCATTCCTTCACTCGTGAACGAGACCCCGAGATACTTTACTTCCTCCACTTAAGTAAGGACCTCTCAACCGGACCCCCTCTGGCCCCTGGCCGCGCCCAGAAATTCTGTTCATAAAAATGTTGAACAGAACTGGTGACGGCCCTCAGCAGAGGACCCCATACTAACGGAAGAACCCCCCAAAGGACACCCCGGGGAACACGGTCTAACGGCTTCTCCAAATCCACATGCATATGTGGACCCGTTGGGCGAACTCCCATGAACCCTCGAGTATCTGATGGAGAGTATAGAGCTGGTCCAGTGTTCCACGACCGGGACGAAACTACCACCAATGGTCGTGGGTTTCCTCTCCAGTACCTTGGAGGCTGAGGAGTGTGATCCCACAATAATTGGAACACACCCTCCGGTTCTCCTTCTTGTAGAGGGGAACCACCACCCACTCCGTCCAGGATCTATAGCCCGTCCGTACATGGGAGGTCTGGATTCTAGAAGGTCTCCATCAGGAGAGGGAGGGTCCGGGACAGAAGCGGCTCTAAGAGCTGATACACGCTGTTAGAGCTGACACAGGGGAGACACAGAGCTGAGACCACAAGTAAGTAAGTAGGAAGATAACAAGATGGTGCAGAAGCAAGACCTCTGGTGTGCACTGCTCCATGTTGTTTTTATTCATATGTGATTCACTTACCACTGTGAAGAACAGAGATGGAATTGGCGTCTCTGCCGTAGACAAACTCACAACACAACACAACGGACTGCCTCAGCGAGACGTGGTTCCATGCGAATGTGCTGGGCTCAGCCGTTCAGCCCCTGGGATTCACTGCTCACCACACAGACAGAGTAAAGGAGATGACGGGGAAATTCAGAGGCATAGGTGTATGCTTTTTAAATAATCAGCGCCGGTGTACGGATGCCGTATTGTGAACCAAATATGTCCGGCCAATATGGAATGCCTGGTCTTAAGCTATCGCCCTTACTGCCTTCTCCGTGGGAATGGATCCCTCCTTCAATGCGGGCCTCCCTCGAGGCTTCTCACTTTAACACAAAAATTAAATAAAATAAATATATATAGAGCTAAAAGTGCTATATATATATATATATATATATATATATATATATATATATATATATACAGTGGGGCAAAAAAGTATTTAGTCAGCCACCAATTGTGCAAGTTCTCCCACTTAAAATAATGACAGAGGTCTGTAATTTTCATCAAAGGTACACTTCAACTGTGAGAGACAGAATGTGAAAAAGAAATCCAGGAATTCACATTGTAGGATTTTTAAAGAATTTATTTGTAAATTATGGTGGAAAATAAGTATTTGGTCAATAACAAAAATTCAACTCAATACTTTGTAATATAACCTTTGTTGGCAATAACAGATTACTGTAGGTCTTTTCCAGGTTTGCACACACAGTAGCTGGTATTTTGGTCCATTCCTCCATGCAGATCTTCTCGAGAGCAATGAACACGGACTTTCAACTCCCTCCACAGATTTCCAATGGGGTTGAAAATCTGTGGAGACTGGCTTAGGTCACTCCAGGACTTTCAAATGCTTCTTATGGAGCCACTCCTTTGTTGCCCGGGCGGTGTGTTTGGGATCATTGTCATGCTGGAAGACCCAGCCACGTTTCATCTTCAAAGGTCTCACTGATGGAAGGAGGTTTTGGCTCAAAATCTCACGAGACATGGCCCCATTCATTCTTTCCTCAACACGGATCAGTCGTCCTGTCCCCTTAGCAGAAAAACAGCCCCAAAGCATGACGTTTCCACCCCCATGCTTTACAGTAGGTATGGTGTTCTTGGGATGCAACTCAGTATCCAAACACGACAAGTTTATACCAAACAGTTCTACTTTGGTTTCATCTGACCACATGACATTTTTGGCCACAATGCAAAACGATATGGTTGGCGTAAAAGCAACACAGCTCATCACCCTGAACACACCATCCCCACTGTCAAACATGGTGGTGGCAGCATCATGGTTTGGGCCTGCTTTTCTTCAGCAGGGACAGGGAAGATAGCTATAATTGATGGGAAGATTGATTGAGCCAAATACAGGACCATTCTGGAAGAAAACCTGTTGGAGTCTGCAAAAGACTTGAGACTGGGACGGAGATTTATCTTCCAACAGGAAAATGATCCAAAACATAAAGCCAAATCTACAATGGAATGGTTCACAAATTGACTTGACCATTCTAACACCTGGATACGTCTAAGTCCAGACCTGAATCCAATCGAGAATCTGTGGAAAGAGCTGAAGACTGCTGTTCACAAACGCTCTCCATCCAACCTCACTGAGCTTGAGCTGTTTTGCAAGGAAGAATGGGCAAGAATTTCAGTCTCTCGATGTGCAAAACTGATAGAGACATACCCCAAGCGACTTGCAGCTGTAATTGCAGCAAAAGGTGGCGCTACAAAGTATTAGCGCATGGGGGCCGAATAATATTGCACGCCCCACTTTTCAGTTTTTTATTTGTTAAAAAAGTTTAAATTATCCAATAAATTTCGTTCCACTTCACGATTGTGTCCCACTTGTTGTTGATTCTTGACAAAAAATTAAATATTTTATATCTTTATGTTCGAAGCCTGAAATGTGGCGAAATGTTGAAAGGTTCAATGGGGCCGAATACTTTCGCAAGGCACTGTAAATGCCTTTTAAAAGTGAATAGGTGTCGGAACAATATTAAAGGCTTTGTTGTGAGCAGAGGTTAGCTAACATTAGCATACTGCTGTGTGGCCTGGTGAGGCCTGCCTCCTCTCTTAGACAGCTCTAATGTGACTTCTAATGAGGCTGTCTGCAGGAATTAGAGACTAGACAGTTCCTCTCTAACCCTGCTTCACTGGCCACATCTGACAATTTAGGAGGAAGACCTTAGCTCTGTCTCGTACATTAATCTCACTGCAGTAACAGTGACGATCTAGAAGACATTAGTGCTGGTCTCTCTATGGTCTCCCTTGGGGTCTCACTCTGGTCTCTTTCTGAGCTCCCTGGTCCCTCTAAAGTCTAATCCAGCCCACCTTTCCTTGTAGAGGTTGAAAACGGTCCCCATAATTCACTTTAGTTTTTTCATATGCCATGTTTCCTACCTGGAATGCAGTCTCCCTCAGGTGTGATTCTATTTATTAAAAACTTGAACATTTATAATCTCCGACTCCTCACCTCTCCTCGCTGGAGTTCACGGGGTACTTGGATAATTCCTATCTGATTTCCACGGTTACGCTGTGGTGCGTGCTGATTGGCTGTTGGCCTCCGTTTAGCCGCATCGCTCCTGTAAACATGTAAACACAGGCACAGAGATCACAGGAGCGTAACAACACCCACTGCATTCTGGGAAAGAGCTGCCATCTGTCAGCCACAGGGGGAATCTCAACAAGTGGGAGGCGGACGGGGACAGGTGCCCGCTGACAGACAACTAATCTGAATGTGATTACTGTAGACGAGTGAAGAAGAGGCTTTAGGTTTGTCCCACACACACACTGACACAAACACACTTGATGTTGCAACATTCTCCTCATATCCATTTTTGAAACTCTGTTTCTTCTTCTGCACTTAACCCTTTAGGCGCCGGAGTTTTTTCAAGAAAATATACTATGATTGATTTCAAGATTTTAAAAGGCTATAACTTTAAAATGGTTTGAGATAAAGGCATACTGTAAAGTAGAAATATCTTCAGTTCGAGCCAAACTTTGGGATGGAAGTTGATTCGTCATCTAATTTGCATATTGTGACGTCATCAAGGTGGCGGCCACATTGGAAAATGTTAATTATTGTATAAAGATTTCAAAAAGCTGTAGCTTGGGAGTTTTTTTTAGATCAGGGAACACTAACAGCACTAAATGTGAAATATCTTTAGTATGAAATGAATTTGGGATAGAAATAAATTCCCTGATCCAGATTATACATAATGTTTTAGCACTGGTTCGCGGCCATATGGAATTTTATTATTTTCAAAGACCTTCAGTGATCAAGACAGCACTCTTTATAGTTTTGCAGTCATGAAATCTAGAGATTGGTTTCAATATTTCCCTTTCAAAGAAGTAGTGGGCATACTATTTTTCTCAGTGGAAATGACGCTCCAGGATTTATCGTGTTGAAACAGAGAGATGAAATGAATGGGCTTAGAATTTGTCAGATTGTCTGAACAATACACAACAGGCTCTTCAACACTTCTGGTCCACTTTTGTGGATTATTTTCTCTCAAGAACTGCGTTCATCCTCATCATCGCTGTTGGTAAAGGCTGTGAACGCGATTAGCGATGTGCTTTTTCCCGCGGCTTCTTCCGCAGCTTCTCCCGTGTTCCCCGTGGATGTCTACCCCCGCTACTTTCATGCCCACATGCCCGGTGTTATGATGCCCCTGTCCCCTCGACCACAGCCCCTGCTTGGCGTTCACAGAATGCTTCTATCGCGGCCACACGGAGGACAAGCAGCCGCTGCACAGGGGCTGATTGTGGATTATATGGCGCGGTCTCCCCGTCACTAATAATGTCCGTGTCTGCTTCACTGGACACCTGCGTGTCTTCCTCCTCTGAATCTGAGTGAGCCAGTACCAGACCAAGTACTTATCTGGTACTGAAGACCTCGTGAGTAAAAGAAAAAACACTCTCTCCCTCTACTTTGCTCTCGCTCCTCTCAGCTCTACAGCTGCTGCTTCTCCTCCGCGCTGCAGCGCCGCAGGTGTTTTACGAACTCCATTTACTCAAAAACTTTCAGTATAACCACACCCACAAATGCTGCTCATTCTACAGGCACACATGTCCACTAACCCCTGGTGAAAAGTATTAACAAGATTCTGCACCACATTTTTAGATACAGCCTGTTTAAGTGAGCAATGCTGCTTGTCGCAATATTGCGACTTTGGCGCTTAAAGGGTTAAGCCTAGCCTTGAATTAAGAGAGCGTATCTGAAAGGAGGTGAGACAGCAGCAGCCACGGCTAGGCTAGCCTAGGCTACAGCACCAAGATTCATGGATTGCACACCAAGTGTGTAAACCGATCCAGGAAAACAGCCTAACTATATACTAAATTAAAGTAGAGTGCTTTAAGCCTGGCCTTGAATTTGGAGACCGTATCTGCTTCCTTAACATGAATGGGAAGCTGATTCCACAGTAAAGGAGCTTGGTAGCTAAATGCTCTGCCGCCAACAGTGATTTTTGAGACCTTAGGAACCACCAGACGTCTGGCGTTTTGTGAGTGCAACGCTCGACTAGGTTGATATGACACTAACGTGTCTTTATTCTGTACTCCACAGTAAGCCAGTGGAGTGATTTTAACACCGGAGTTATGTGCTCCCTCCTTTTGGTACCTGTTAAGATCCTTGCTGCTGTATTCTGAACGAGCTGGAAGCTCTTCAAAGTGGTTTTAGGGCATGCTGCCAATAAAGCATTACAGTAGTCAAGTTTTGAGGTGACAAAAGCGTGGATACGTTTTTACGTGTCACTTTTAGGAAGGAAATTCCTGATTTTAGCGATGTTCCGTAAGTGGAAGTACGCCGTTTTAGTTGCTTGGCTTATATAAGCCTTGAAGGAGAGTTCTTCGTCGAAAATGACTCCAAGATTCCTCACAGTGTTGCTGGGTATAATACTGACATCATCGAGAGTGATTATCTGGTCAGTAAGGGAGTCACGCAGGCGCTTCGGACCGAGTAGGATCACTTCTGTCTTCTCCGGGTTAAACAGTAGGAAGTTAAGAGTCATCCACGTTTTAAGGTCCTTTATGCAGGCACTACTATTTTCCAGCTGATCCGTCTGATTTGGCTTCATCGACAGATAAAGCTGTGTGTCATCTGCATAGCAGTGGAAATTAATTCCATGCTTTTTAATGATGTTTCCTAACGGCAACACGTAGAGAGTGAAAAGAATCGGTCCGAGTACCGAACCCTGCGGCACACCGAATTCCACTCCAGAATAAGGCGACGAGTTCTGATTTACGTTGACAAAGTGATACCGATCCGATAAATAGGATTTAAACCAGCCAAGGGCTGTTCTTCTAAGACCTATATCACATGCTAGCCTCTGCAGTAGAATGCTGTGGTCTATTGTGTCAAATGCAGCACTAAGGTCCAGTAGGACCAACACTGACACTTGTCCATTATCAACAGCTAGTAGTAAGTCATTTGTGATTTTGACTAGTGCCGTTTCAGTGCTATGAATGGATGTAATTTTATTATTAAAAAAATGGAGAAATTGACACTGCTCAGTGAGCTTGGAGTTTAGCGACGGTGCTAAACAAAAATCTACTGTTTAAGAGCAAAAATGCGTTGCCTCAATCTGTGTGCAGTTATTCAGCACGACATTGACAGAAAGGTATTAGCGGATACACGAGCTCCTGCTCGGGCTGTATAAACATCAACAAAATGCATCTTGTATTACTTTAATGTGCAGTATTATAATGAGTAATTATTAATGAATTATATCATTCTGAAGTACATTGAACTTGAAATTAATATAAACTCTACTCAGCTTTGAGCACATGTTTAAGTTAATCAATATTACTGATATTTGTATATATTTGTTTTCATATGTATAAAACATTCTTTGTTGAAAGAAGAGGAAGGATATAACGATTAAACTGTCTGTTTTGTTACTTAACAAGGAACAATGAAAAAATGTTGGAGCAAAGGTAAAGACCAGGGGTCCCCAATTAAATTGGCAAGAGGTCCACAAACTTGATCAGCTCAGTAGACCAGGGTCTGGACATCAAAATACAACTGGACAAAAAATGTTTTCTTTGGTTTTATTAAATTGTAAATTGCATGTGTTTGAATCAACAACAACACATATGCGAATGTAGTAGTAGGCCCTGCGTGCCCGGTGGCAGCCTATTGCGTGCAGTCTCCTCCCTTTAAAAGGAGGATGGATCACCTGCACCATCTCTTTGCCCGCCTCTGACGTCACCGCTGTCCCAGGAGCAGTGAGCTGCACAGCGTGGAGTCTGGCTCCACAGCTTGGACAAACACAGTTGCCGGCCCTAAAGCTGGCATTCGCGCTTCCTATTGAGCTCACAACTAGTAAGTACAGTGCCATTCCCCTTTGATTGTCTCCTTATCCATCCTGCTTTATATAAAATACTCTACGCTCCCCGCAGCGCTCTGTGCGTGGCGTCTTGCGGCCCAGTTGCGGTGCAGGGTCAACTGAGGACACCTCCCGCATGTTTGGTGTGCGTGTTGTCACATACCATTACGGTAAGCTGGTGTGTGCCGCGTATCCGCCCATTAACATTACTTTCCAAACTTAGTGCTAACTAAGCGCTCTTTATAAGGTGGGGCACCCGGTTCTACGCGCCTCCTGCGCTGGGTCTCTAGGTGAGCGCTTCACGCAGAGGATTCATGGTGCGTATTTTCCCGGCTCCTGAGCTGCTACGTGGGGTTTTACCTGTACTGTAAATTCTAAATTGTCACTTCTTTTAGGTCCAGTCTTCTCGAGCCTCTCCTTTTCCTCTCCTCCTGAGTTGCCTTGGCTCATGTTTTCCTGGTGTCCATACAGTGTGGTCCATTTAGTGGCCATCAGTTAAAGGAGGTGCCTGTAACTTTTGAACTAGCTGCTGTGAGTTTGCCCAAAAGCACATGTAAGCACCAATGCACTTTAAAACAAGTTAATCTGGGGTCATTGTGTTTGTTTTGTGTACTGTGCACTGCATTTTTAAAAAACTATTTTAATTATGAACTTAAGTGAATGTTAATATAATCAAATAAATATTGTAAACCTTTTTCTAATTTTGTCTCTGTCCCTCAGTTACTTACCTGTGTTAGCCTTAATCCTTTATTTTTTATTTTCCCTTCGGGGTGGCGTTGTTGGCAACAAACCAGTATTTAAAATTATCCACCAGTATATCACAGCCCTCGCACCATACTTAGCTTATTATTTCATCAGTTTTAAAAGATACCCAACAAGTAACTTTCTAAGTTTAATTGCAAAAAGAAATGTATGAAACCCTTCTAAAACATCTAGAGAAGGATGAGTTAAAAAAAATATAAATTGCACATAAACTTGAAAAATAAACAAATGAAAAAGGTAATTCACCCCAAAACATTCAACAAAGACAAAACAGTTTTTATTTTTAACTGTGGTCCAACTTAACTTAATAAAGTGCAAACAAGTTAATTATAAATTATTACTTAATATAACTATAGTGAGAAATTTTTTTGTACATACACTTCCCAGGAAGTGAAATAAATTCACATTAAAACAAGATTCAAGTAATAACCTGGAACTAACCTGAAACTCTTCAAGTGCATTGAAAATGGCTCAATGTGAGAAATGTGCATATGCACTGCCAGCTAATTTCTTAAATTGTGGAATGAATGGTGTCAAAGCAATTCTCAGACAAGCATGCACATTTTCATTGGTCAGTTTAGAGAGGTTCTTATTCTTGATCATGTTAAGAGTGGAAAAGGCAGACTCACAACTATAGGTAGAGCCAAACATGGTCACTTTGGCACAGTTTTGAGCCAAAATGTAACTGGGTCAGAGAATTTACATTACATCTTAACACTATATCAGACTGCAAATCTAACAATTCCATTTGTAGAGATTGTGTATTTGCCCATCTGTATCCCTGTGCTGCCTCCTTTGAGAAAGTGGTAACACCTTTAACTAGAAAGGGATTCCTGACAAAGAGCACCATCTGGTCTCTCAATGTAAAGCCAAGTTTTGAATGAGCAGCCAAGTTTTCAATCAACTTTTGGATAAAGTCGGAATGACCTTTGACATTGATCCCATAAATCCCTTTCAAGGACGGAAAACATGTGCAGTCCTCTTCAAGGTAATTTTACAGAAGCTCCAATTTCTTCTGAAAAGACCGGACAGAAGCTACTAAGTCACATACTGAATTGTCTTTTCCCTGAAGCTTCAGATTTAAGTCATTTAAGTATCCTGTCATGTCCACCAGAAAGGCCAGTGTTTCCATGCTCCTCCTCCATAAAATATAAAAACACCAGCGCCTTCTGACTCTTTTGCTGTGCCAGAAAAGCTTTCATTTAATTTCTTATCTCCCAAAAACGAGCAAGAACCTTTCCTTTATCAACAATCAGACATTGGAATGCATAGGTCATTGGCTCGTGCTTCTACTTCTGCTAAAAAGTCTCTGAGCAGACGATGCTGGTGAGCTGATGAAGCCCTGAGAAAGTTCACCAGTTTGGTGAGAGTGCTCATTGCTTCTGGTTAGTGCTGTGAAAGTGAGGAGCAGAGAACAGACAGATGGATGATGCACTGATATGACAAGAGTTCTGGATTGTTCTCTTTTAGTCGAGCAACTGCACCCTTTTCATGTCCCATCATGGATGGCGCCCCGTCAGTTGTCATGGAGACAACACTTTTCAGATCAATCCCCCTCTGGTTCAGCGTTTCCTTTATGGCCAAATATATATCCTCTCCTCTCGTCCTTGTTTTCAAAGCTGTCATGCCTAAGATGTCCTCAACACATACTTTACTTTCCTGGTGATAGAATCGTACATACTGTATACCAAAAGTTGAGCATTGTCACTTACATCAGTTGTTTCATCCACAGCTAAAGCTATGCACTGAGCACGTTGAATGGCGCTGTCGAGCTGAGACTGCACATCCTCCGATAAGAGTTTTGCTCTCCTTGTTGTTGTTGAGGATGAGAGGGGTATTTGGCGTACCTTTTGTTTAATTTGCAGTCCTACTTTTCCTTCAAAAATAGTTTCTGCCAATGCCTCCATACATTCTTTGACCATTTCGGAGTCCGTGAAAGGCTTTTTATGCTTCCCCAATATCCAAATATCCACTGTACTCGCAGTGAGCACTCATGAGCTCGCTGTTGTGCTGTGAGGTGATTGATTACCCGTGTAGCATTCTTGTGCTGTACTTTGAGTTCATTTATTTTCTTCATCCTCATAGCGGATCCTGGTGGGTAACTTGCGTCAAAACTTTTGTGCCTTTTATTCAAAATGTCTCTTGATTTGCGCTTTTAACCAGGGCAACAGACTCTGTACATAAGAGACAGAAGGGCCTCGTAGAACTTGATGCAGGCAAAATAAAAGCATAAGCTTCAGTCCACTCATCACGAAAGATACGGTTTTCTAAAGCCTGGTTCACACGGCAGGATAATTAGGCCGATTTTGGACCCGATTTACCCCTACGACAATCTTGAGAATGCAACGAATATCGTAACAAAAAATCTGATGCATTTTCCTGCCGTGTGTGGTGTGTCACTGCGCTCCTCGCTCGGAAGGACTTCGGGACTGCTCCGATCTCAATATCGGCGATATCCAACATGTTTCTCCTTGTGTGTGGTGTCCCCCAAGGACAGACGAGCGCGTTGCCATGACTGCGACGTGTAGCCAATCAGGGGTAGCCATGTCTACACTTCTCTGACCATCGCCTTTTCTTTTGATTTCGTCTTTTCTCAGGGGGGGGGGATTTTTGCGTGATTTTTGCCGTGTGGCTGCGCACCGCACACTGTACGACAAAAGTGGTTAGACCCACGATTTTTTTATCTCCGTGTGTGGGGTCTCACACAGTGAAAAAATCGGCTGTCATTTCGAAAAATTGGCCGACAATTTTAAAATCGGCTCGTGTGAACCAGGCTTAAGTCTACCTTTCTGATTTTTGACAACGCCATAATTCATTGAAGTGTTATTACTTTTGACAGCTCCGTAGAGTTCGCCGTACAGGGGTCCTTCGCCAAAGGACCCTATGCGGACATAGCTGACCTTGCGCCCGCCTATTTACAAATCGCTTTTGGTGAAAAGTTTAGACATACTTTTAATAATGTGCTTTTGAACAAAAATGTATGTAGGGCTGGAGAAAAGGTTCTTGGGGTCTGGACCTGGACCCCGGTCCGCCAATTGGGTGCCCCTGCTATAATATTTAATACAGGAAGGATTTCTGTATTTTATTTTGTGGTGTCCATGTTTTAATTTGATGTTTGCGTTCTTTTTCAGAGACTACTGGTGAAACGGAACTCTGACTTTCTCTGACAGCAACAAAATCACACACCATCGTTTCTCCTGCTTCACAATATTGCTTTACAATATGAACTACAACAAACATTTTCATGTTTTATTTAATCATCAGTCATGAATAGTTAGAACAGTGGGCTCTGCATCTCTGAAGACGAGGAGCAGCAGGAGGAGGAGCATCAGCAGCAGAAGCAGGAGGAGCAGCAGGAGGAGGAGCAACAGCAGAGTCCTGAGCGTCTGCCCCTGCCTCTACAGTGTGCGCTTCATAGAAGAACCTGGAAATAAATAAAAAAATAAAAATGAAACTTGTTGGTTTTATTATGATTTTGTGTCTGAAGTGTAAAGCATCATGAAAAATAAGGAATTATTTACACAGGTACATATTTGTCTGCAGTACTTACAATACATCTAATTGAATACATTAAACTCTAATCTGATTAGTAACAGTCTGTTGCTCGTCAAGACTTCCTCTCCTGTGTTCAACTCCATTTTACAGATATAATAGATCCATGATTGTTCCTTTCTCATCAGCAAACACACATTATTACATTTAGGCCTGATACAATTTACTTTTAAGTGATGCACAAACGAGGGCCATAACAAATATCCATCCATCCATTTTCTACCCTTTAATCCATTTCTGGGTCAGGGGGGTGTCAATCAGAGATGCCACCCAAGCCTCATAGCACCAGCCCCTCACTGACCCTCTGCAGGTGGTGAGGCCACAGGAGGGCAGCTGCTCTCTGAGTGTGAGCATAGCCTTGATCTTTCAGTGGGGGGCTTTGGGCAAAGGGGGGTTAAGTGTCTTGCCCAAGGACACAACGACAGCAGTCATCAGTGGAAATCGGTGGAGAAGGTGCAGAGGTGGGAATTGAACCCACAACCTTCTGGCCAATGCTCTACCAACTGAGCTACTGTCGATGAATCATATAATAATAATTGAATGCATATATGTGCATTGTTACATACATGTGATGTTTTGTGACATAAAATATCAATTTGTAAAAACAAATGATTACTGCCAATACAATTGTTTTAACAGAGAAGGTCGGTTACAGAAGCCTCGTCTTTGGGTTTTCATAATTAAGACTGTAATAAAGATTGTAAACATCAGGGTTAGGGTTAGGGTTAGGGTTAGGGTTACTAGCTTGTAGCTGAATAACTCATGTGCTCAGGGGATTCTCGCAGTACTGCAGACTGAACCAGACTAAATTCACGTGGGCTACCCAGAAATTTTCCCCATAGGACTCAATGCAAATTAAAACAGCTCAACCTCAGCTGACAGAGAACCTACAGCTTTCATAAAGGTCGGATTTTGTGGGGATTTTAGTGTCCCTTGTCATCCTGAACTTTTTTTCTTCTTGAATCCTTCGGTTTTGTTTAAATCCACACTTTAGTGCCACAAACTCTTCTCGTCTGGCTCTCGCTCTAACTCCCGCTCCGATGACCTGCTCTGATTGGTCAGAGCGCAGCCGAGCCCCTCTCTGCACGTGCGTGAGACCCGGTGTGAGACCCACACACGCGTGTTTGGCGCAACGCATTATGGGAGATCATCCACTGCGCAGAACCGGGAGGACCAGACGATGCC